ACTATTTATTCGAACACAAAATGAAACACAACAAAAAAGAAAATACCTTTCGAAAGTTCTTTTTTTTTGCTTTTATTCGACCGAAAACTCAAAGGGAATGACCCTTGTTACATATTTTTGCTTCGGTTATATAAGCTCGATTTACTTTTTTTAACCTATTTTTGCTATGAAATGATTACAAAAAAAATCAACTTGCGTGTAGGGATGGCAAAAAAAACTCGAACCCGACCGGGAAAATCGAAAACCGAATTAAACGGTGACGGGGGAAAATCGTTTATGCTAAACAGGGACGGGGAAAAACTATTTATTTTAACGGGATGGTTTAGTAATCCCCGCCTCGATACCCACCCGATACCCGGCCCAATAAATATTAAAAAATCATTATTATATATATATATATATTAATAAATTTAAATTAAATTAAAAATATATATACTTTATATATTTAATTTAAATATATATACCCGACCCGATACCCATTTAAATAACCGTTTATGCTAAACGGGGATACTCGTTTCCCTGCGTTTTCCTCGATTACCCGATGGGGATCCCCGTTTAAATTCCCACAATTTTTTAAACGAGGATGTATGGGGTTTTTTAAATGGGGACAGGGACGGGGGACCAATACCCAGCTCATTACCATCCCTACTTGCGTGACGTATGAGTTTGGTGTTCAGTTGCTTGTTGAAATGTTCTGAATTTCTGACACTGTAGGGCCTTCGTTGTGGCAGAGGCGGTGGGCGAAACGGTGGCAACAACTTGCTCAATCTGGACTGTTGGATGGTCCAGATCCGACAACTTATATGAAAAGGGACGGTTGCTGAAGAGGAAACCCTAACTAATGGTTGATTTGGGTCGTTAGATCTCTCCCATATCCAACGGCTGGGAGCTGGCGGTGGCTGTGGAGATATGGTAAAACCCTAGCCAGGTTGCTGGGCTCCCAAGTAGGTCATTCAGTTGGGCTTTAAGCTTGGGCTTATATCTGGGTTGGGTTGCTTGTAATTGGGGCCGAGTTTGGGCCATGATAATTTGATTTGAAACTGGGTCATGTTTTGTATTTTGGGTCCTTGTTGAATCTGAAATAATAATAATAATAATAATTGAATGGGACGAAAAACAACTGTTGACAACTATTCCTCTTTGCCCATTCTTGTGTCATCAAGAATAGGGCAAAGATGAAGAGACAATGAGTTTTTCGTCCGATTCATTTCATAGTTTGAAATATGATAAGGGATCTGTTCCACTGTCACTCAGGGAATATTAGATGTGAGGATGTTGATCCATTCCGCTGTCACTCAGGGAATATTGAATCGGGGCAGACTTGTTTTGTTGTCACTCAGGGAATATCAAATCATGAAAGAGAGAGATCTGTTCCGCTTCTTTGAAGGGAGTATCAGATCTAGGGGGAGTTGATCCATTCCGTTATCACTCAGGGAATATTGAATCGGGGCAGACTTGTTCCGCTGTCACTCAGGGAATATCAAATCTTGGAAAAGAGGGACATGTTTCGTTTCTTTTGAAGGGAATATCATATTTGGAGGAGTTGATCCATTCCACTGTCACTCAGGGAAGATGAATCGGGGCAGACTTGTTATGCTGTCACTCAGGAATATCAAATCTTGGAAAAAAGGGACATGTTCCGCTTCTTCTGAAGGGAATATCAGATCTGGAGGAGTTGATACATTCTGCTGTCAATAAGGGAAGATTTCACTGTCACTCAGGGAATATCAAATCTTGAAAGAGAGGGATCTGTTCTGCTTCTTCTAAAGGGAATCAATCTGCAAATTAAGCATTACCAATTGTTAGTATATGTTCGAAAATTTGAAAGATCATATTTGAAGATTTAGACTTCAAGATAATCTTTGAAAATCGATTTTCTTGTGCAAATTTATCTTGCAACCATTGAATATGGGAGTTTGCCTCCCTAAACATGATTCTATGCATTTGAGGTTGAATTTAGCTTCTACTTGTTGGGATTTTGATATCACGAATCTTCTCTTTCATTGAAAGATCTGTAAAAACCATATGTTTATGTGCAAAATGCAAATGCATTCTTTATGCAAATGATGTTCTCATGCATGCACAAATGCTGAATTAATTTTTCTTTAACTCCAAATTAGAGAACCACGTCTCTTCCTATTGACCATTTTTTTCTAGGGTTTACTCAGATATCGGTGTAGCAGCTTGCAACTTCTGAAGATCTACCCAATCATCTTGTCTTGTGTCTTCTTTGCCTTTTATGCATTAAAGTCTCAGAAGAAATGCTTCACTTCTTGATGCCATTAATAATATGACATGATGTCCCTTTCTGCTACTGGATTGATGCTGCCATGATTTTCTTTATGAAGTAAGCTCTGCTCATATTCAGGGTTTACCGCTGACACTCCAAGTCATGATACTCACTCAATGCTTTCTGGTCTGAATCTTGTAATCTCAACATGATCTGGGTTTCTGGTCATGCCCAAAGTGGGTATTTCATGGTTCCACCTTACTTGGGTGCCAAAATTCATCTTTGACTGGTCGTATTCTTGCATTTTGCTATACGCTGAGATATGTGCCCCTTTCAAACAGGCGATCATCTGCTTCTTTGACAGATCACTGCTCCAAAGACTTTTCGCATTTGAGATGTCCTGTTTGAAAAAATGTTTTCCTCATTTCTTTTATTTTAGAAATCAAATAATGAAAGAATTTGTGAATGATTTCCCCTTAATTAGGCTCACAATCAAATTGCAAACATTAGTTCACAATCAAAAGAATCATTGATCTTTAATATTTTAAAGTTATAGCTCTTTGACCAGTATTAAAATTGATGGGTTGGCTTCGGTTGGCTTTCTTATTTTCTAAGGTTTAGCCATTGAGACACCGCCATTTGTTTATACCATGTGCACCTTGTTCATATCTTTCTTTCTCGGCTTGGCATATTAAGTGGATGCAGACAAAATGAAGCAACTAGCATATTCTTGCTCGATCTGAACCGTTGGATAGGTCCAGAACCGATGACTTATATGAAAGTTGGCAGCTGCTGAAGAGGAAACCCTAACTGATGGTTGATCTAGGTCGTTGGATCTCTCCCAGATCCAATGGTTGGGAGCTGGCAGCGGCTGTGGAGATAGGGTAGAACCCTAGCCGGGTTGCTGGGCTCCAAAATGGTTCGGTTCAGTTGGGCTTCCATCTAGATTAAGTTGCTTATAATTGGGTCGGGTTTGGATCCTGATAATTTGATTTAAAACTGGACCGATTTTTATATTTTTTTGTTCTTGTTGGATCATAAAAATAAAATAAAATAATAATAATAATAATATCGAATGAGACGAAAAACAATTGTCGACATACACCTTTCCTTTCTTGACCAAGAAACCATCGTAAGCCTCCAATGTTGTTGGAAAAAATCATACTCCTATAAAAATCTACTATGGAGAATGATGTCTGTATCATTCATTGAAGAAAGTGTTAGAGATAACATTGAATGACAGTTAAATGCAACGACGATATTAAATCTAAGATTTGAGTTAGAGAAGAGAAGTTTTTTATTTTTAATCTTTGAATAAAGTGAAAAAAATCCAAAAAATCTAGAGGTCAATTTATAAATTAAATCAAATTTATTAATGTAATCAATGTGATGAGAGTTAATGACTTAATGATCAATTTTTAATAACTCGATAACGTAAATGATTAAAATATAAATTTTTAAAATTTAATGATCAAAATAAAATAAAGGCAAAATAAAAGTGACCTCGATAATAGTTAATCCAATTTTCAACTTAAAAAGTGAGCTAAAGAAATGTACAAAGTTTTTTTTTTCATTTTAGGGTAAATGACATATTTAGTCATCAATCTAATCTCATAGTTTTGTTTTGGTCATTATACTATTTTGTTCTTCAAAATCATACCTAATGTTATATTTTATTTCAATTTTAGTCATCTACAGTTAAAAAAATAGGTATAATGACAAAAATACTAATACTTTTGACAAAATAGTCACTTTAACCCTTATTTTTTAATCAAATTAACCCCCTAACATTTCATTTTGGGTGAAAAGAAGCCCTCTGTGGATGAAAACTATTAGTCAACTAATATCGATAATTATAACTAATTTATCATAATATTATAAATTACAATTAAATTTGAATAGAAACTCAAATAATTTAATTCAAATTTTATAACACAACTTGGATATAAAAAATTTAAATGAAATTTGAATAATAAAATAAGACTCGTCAATTCTACTAATTCAAAAAATTTATAACTCAAGGCAACTCAATCAATCAATACTTAACCTTAATGTTATTCTTCCTAGAGGATTTGAGTTTGAGCAGTTGTCTTTGCAGGATATATATCTATTGTTAATGACTAAATATTATAATAAATACTACCTTAAAATCACCTCATGTTAAGAAAGAGTGAATTAAGTGACATCGATAGTAAATGAATTATTGTTATTTCCTGAGATCCTGAATTCAAGCACCAATAATATTAGGGATGAGTGTTCAAAGTTATCTTTTAATAAATATTAGATGTACTTAATCCAAATTAGTAAAAAAAATTATTAAAAAGAAAAAAACCTTAATATCTCACTTCATATATACAGTCAGCATTATTTGGAAAAGACACGAAAGTCACGTGTCCAACATCTGTCGACTCTCACTCGTCAACCTTTTGAATTAGGATATGAGCGCCTTTTCTCAAATCCAGTTCAGTTATGATTATAAATTAAATTCTCAAAAACATTTCCTCGATTGTTCAAATACCTATTCGCCCTTTGTCCCTCCAGAAATTCAAATTTTAACGTCTCGGAACCCTAAAAATAGAAGCAACAATCTCCAAAGCCCTCTGGTAGTGTATTCTCCTATCAAATTAATATTTTCTCTTCATATTTGTCTGCTTCAGATCTGAAGCATATGATTTTGAGTGATTCAAAAGATTTTTAATGGTTCCATTTCCTTTTCAAAAGTTAGGGTTTTGACGAATCCTTCACAGATTTGGGTTGCATTGCGTTGGTGATGGACAACTCGGAATCCGTGAGGGTCGCCGTTAATATTCGACCGTTGATTACTACCGAGCTTCTCAATGGAGTACGGATTGCATCACCGTGGTTCCCGGAGAACTCAGGTATTATCATTCTATAAAATCTTCCTGAGTTTTGATTTTGGAATGAATATATGTGTTCAAATATTAGCAAATTGGGTCACATGTCTTTACTTATGATTACGTTTATGGGGAGCTGGCTCGCCGTCTTCAATTTATGATGATTGCGTTGCTCCTCTAGTTGATGCACTTTTTCATGTTATAATGCTACTGTCTTGCATATGGTCAGGTTAGTTCATTTTGTTATATTATTATTATTATTATTTTCATAAAGAAGTTTATAATTTACTAACAATGATTTTTTCTGGGTTTTTAGACGGTTCCGGTAAAACATATACTATGGGAACCAACTACACAGCAGACGGAAGTAATGCTGGGATTATACCTAAAGTTATGGAAGCCATATTAAAAGAGCTGAAGCAACAAAAGCTCGACTGAATATTTGATAAGAGTGTCATTTATTGAGGTGCTGGCTAATAATGATAGTAGAACTTGATTCTACTTATCAGTAAGATCTTATATTATGATTTTTGAATTTGACAGATATTTAAGGAAGAAGTGTTTGACTTACTTGACTCAAATCCAGCGGCTTCAGCGAAAGTTGAAGGGTGTCTCTTGCGAAGCACAGCTCCAGGAAGGCTACCTATTCAGATTAGGGAAACATGAATGGATAACACGGCTGGTGACTGAGGCAGAAGTCCGGACAAAAGAAGATGGCATCTTACTTGTCACGAGGTTCTTTATGTCGTGCTACAGGGTACCAATATGAATAACTTATCAAGGTGGGCATATTTTTTCCAACTTGCATCTTGTTTGTGGATACTCTTTTATTTAAAACACCATGTTCATTTATTACAATAGCATCTTCCTTTTAAAGTAATGAAAGATACAACCAATTCCTACAATTGGCTTTATCTTGGTTTTTGTTTTTTTTTTTTTTGCGTCAGAATAGATAAATTATTGTGTTTACAAATCATTATCATGTAATTCTTGTATATTTTGTAATTTGTGCTTATGTTAATGTTTATTACATGTTCCAGTCGCTCACATGCCATATTTACAATAACCATGGAGCAAAAGAAGATTGCTAGCTGCTCAAATGAGATGATGATATTGGTGATGATATCTTATGTGCAAAGCTTCATTGAGTGGACCTTGCTGGCTCAGACGTGCAAAGAGAACAGGTGCCGATGGCATGCGCTTCAAAGAAGGTGGTTTTGTTTTTCTTATTCCAAGCCTTGTATTTAGAAGTAAGCTGTAATCCAACATGAAACTTGTGCTGATGTCACCTAAAATTTTGATGCTTTGCTGTTGCAGGCATTCATATCAAAAAGGTTTACTAGCTCTGGGAATGTGATTAGTGCATTGGGATGAGAGAAGAGGAAAGAAGGGGGCCATGTCCCATATCGTGATAGCAAGTTGACACGCTTGTTACAGGCATGTTTTAGCTTTTATTCTGATTTTTACAATTTGTTTTAACTTGTACATATCTTGATATCCATGAGTAATCATCTCAATCCGTTGTTTAAATCGAACGCTTTCACTGTAATGAAGTAGACTGTCCATTCTGAAAAATTAAAACGCATAAATCAAGTCGTGCCACTGATCAGTAATATTCATCAGTGCGTTATGCATAGACTATTTTTAATCACTAAATTGATAGGAAGTGAGAATTACTAACATCACATTTATACTGTAGAAATTAAAACACTAATGGCTACAAAATGGATGTTTCTTTCGTCAAGCAGAAGGAGAACATATTCATTTTCTTTTCTAAGACTTCTACTTGGATATGGTTATTATGTATATTTTGTTCTGGAATCACGTCTAAATGTGTTGGCTACAATTCTCTTTGTTTTAGAATTAATTTATTCGATATAAATATGTCCTTTGATGAAGCTTTACTTCACAAAGAAGTTCTACATTTTCTGATGGAAATTTGAATTCTCAGGATTCCCTTGGAGGAAACAGTAAAACGATGATGATTGGTATGCTTTATATGTTTTAGAGCATTAACTTGTTGTTCCATCTCTCTATTACCATAACTAGTTTTGGCTTTGAATTTCTCTAGTATGCATAAATATCTCTTCTATTTATTTGATTGTAGCTTGTGTTAGTCCGGCTGACACCAATGCTGAGGAAACTCTCAACACATTGAAGTATGCTAATCGAGCTCGAAACATTCAGAACAAGGCAGTTGTAAGATACCTATTCATATTTGCAGAATATTTTAATGATTATTATAATCCCCATGACCATCTCATCCCTTATATTTGGTTAGATAAACCGTGACCCAACGGCAGTTCAATTGCAGAGAATGAGAAGCCAAATTGAACAATTGCAAGCTGAGCTTTTGTTTTATCGTGGTGATGGCAATGCATCATTGATGAACTTCAGGTTATTTTATAAAATATAAAACACCACACTTCACTTTACTTTCTTAACCTAGTTGCTAATTTCTTTTCCTTTGTTTTTCCAGATTCTCAAGCACAAAGTTTCTTTACTTGAAGCAAGCAACACAGAGCTACAACGAGAGCTTCAAGAGCGTAGACTCTAGTGAACAATTAGCTCAACGTGCACTTGATGCTCAGTTTTTCTCCATTCATTTTTGTCTTCAGTTGTTTAGGTTGTTCTAAGATCCCTTTTGCATTCCCTGCTTGTGTAGCTGGTCGAAGGCACTATAAAATCTCACGATTTTCAATATTTTAGGTCGAGAAAGACAAACTGGTAATGCAAATTGAGTCAGCCCGAAATGGTAATCATGGGATGAGATTGACTCTAATATAATCAGGTAAAGTTTGTGCTAGTTATTGAATCTAGCAGATGATGAATAAACCTCGGTTACATGTGTTTTTTCATTATTGTAGGATTTTGATTTGATGAAAACTTATGTCTTGAAAATTCAAGAGTGGAAGGAGAATTAATACGATTGAAAAGCTTAAACAACTCAAAGCGTTGTCGGTTGTCTGATTGTGTTGATTCCGGTGATGGTGGAAACTCAAAAATTCGTTATTTTCTTCTAGAAATGATTATTATCTTCAGGTAAATTAGGAATGACGACCTTATCATTTGGTTTCACTTGTATATCTCATGTACTGGTTATGATTGAATTCTAGTTGAATCCCTTGATGTAAGTTTTTATTTTACATACCGCTAACTATAACAAGCCTTATTAAGGACTAAATTATACAATTTGACGCCCCTCTGCGCATCTCATAATATCAACAATTCAATGATTTTTTATTTGGCTTTGTAACAGTGTGGAATTTAATCTTTGATATGATGCATCATCATTTAAACCTTTCACATTTTATTTTCATTGATATGGCTCTTCCATTCTCTATGCAACCTTGTAAGACCTTAATGTAGAACTAATACAGATAAGAGTTTCTTCCTTCATGTGCAGATGAGATTGAGGATAATGAGAAGGAGCTAGAACATTCATCTCTCCAAGAAAAGTTGGACATGGAACTTAAGGAGTTGGACAAAAGACTTGAACAGAAAGAGGTATGTGTTGCTTTTGTCAGTAATTGAAGATTTAATTTGGCCTTACACTTTCTTTTTCATTTTACATTATGCTAGTAAGATTGGAGATATTCAAGATATTTGTTATTGAAACGTTAACATTCTGGTTGGTTGCCTTTACGATTCCAGAACCATCAGAAGCCGGATACTTATTGCTAAAATGTTTGTGAATCAATTGTTGAGATGGTTATATTATCATGCTATGCAAAATCCCGTTTTTTAGCAACTTGGTTGACCTTTTCTTACTTCTTATTTCTTTCATTTTTTCCTAATTGCTTTTTATTTGTTTATTAAGGCTGAAATGAAGTGTTTTACGAGTTCTGACACCTCAGTTCTTAAACAACATTATGAGAAGAAAGTTAATGAGTGGAAAAAGAAAAAGAATTCTGCAGGTTAGTCACCTGTATAAAGTTACCGTGGTGTTTTGTACTTGGTGTCATATAATATTAATTCTTTTTTTTTGTCACCTGACAGAAAGAATTGAGGATCTGAGAATAACCTTGCCAATTTTCTTCTACTTCTGATGCTGGTGCTCAAAAGTTAAAGGAGGAATACTTCAGAAGCTGAATGTCCTTGAGGCACAGGTGAGTTTTGAATTTTCTTTCCCAGTCAACAGCATTTATACTTATCAGCTTGCATATTAATATTCTGCTTGTCAGGTTGTGGAGTTGAAGAAGAAGCAAGACGCTCAAGCTCAACTTTTGAGACAAAAACAAAAAGTGATGAAGCAGCAAAGACTTCAGATGATTCTGAGAATCAAATCTCAGAAGGTGAATATCAATCCCATGCTGTCTAATTTCATCTTAAAAACTGAAATTGTTTTTACAAAATAGGAATAAGATTCTTGCTATCAATCGTTGCAAATGTCTATTTTATAGGTTCAACTGCAACATAAGATCAAGCAAGAATCTGAGCAGTTTAGGTTATGGAAAGCATCACGAGAAAGAGGTTCTTCAGGTACACTCAAATATGAGTTTAATAAATGCTTCTTCAGATCATGTATCTGTTATGTACTTATGCGATAGATATTTGCTATTTGCAATACCACTATAAGCTACACAAACTATATTAATAAATTGTTGGCATTCACATGGGTGTGAGTGTTACCATGTATCTTGAGGATCCTTAGAATGTAATGTAACATCCCCTTATTCATGTGTTACATATAGTGATAGAAACAGACACTTCAAAATAAAGAGTTGAAGCAACATAGAACTAGCATACCATCTAAATATTAATTATTTGATAATTGTTAATGGGGGTATTTTGTGTGGCAGTGATACCTAAATTTACTCCACTTAAACATTCAAGTTTTTTGTGTAGTAACCTTCCAATAAGTCATATTAGTTTGAATCGAGGATATCACATGGCTTGCTCACTCTAGTACCAAAAGTTTTTTTTAATAAGAGTGGTTGCTTCCAGTGGAAGTGTTTTTGTTACTGTTAAGACTCGAGGTTAGTAGTAAGCAGAGATTTATTGTTGTTACTTGTTAAACAAAAGATAGAATGCAAATTCAAATGGTATCAATTCTTTTCTTTTCCCTTCTTTTTCATTTTGCAAGAGTTGTACAGTTTAGACAATCCTAGCAAAACGTTTTTTTGGTCAATATATAATTATTGTTTATTTTTCTTGCTAACTAGCTTAAGAAAGAAGGAAGGAGGAATGAGATGAGATGCACAAGCTCTTAGCTCTGAATCAGAGACAAAAAATGGTAAATTTATTTTCACATAGAATCTTTGTAATATGAACTTCTCACACTCTGCATATGCATGTTAGGTTGCAAAGAAAGACTGAAGGCTGCTATGGCTACAAAAAGGCTAAAGGAGCTTCTAGAATCTAGAAAGACTTCCTCACGTGAGGCTTCCAGTTTGGAGAATTTCTGTGTGCATGTATTCTTTCTTTTGTAGCTAGAACTCATATTTGTTATACTATTTGATATGCAGGCACTGGAAATGGCATTGGTCTGGAATTCAGGTAATTGGCAAGCAGATAGCTGCTTGTTTTGGAGTTGCTCAGACCTATTAGTTTCAGTCTAACATATCTTATTGAATTCCCATGAGAGGGGTTATTTTTCAATATTTTCTTTCATTCTTTTGGATTTTGATGCATGTTCCAAGTGTTCTTTTTTGTGATATAATATATCATCCTTTTGAAGGCAATAACGCAGACAATTGAGCATGAACTTGAGGTCACAGTACGGGTTCATGAAGTACGTTCTGAATATGAAGACAAATGGAAGAGTGAGTCCTTATTTTTCATGTGCAGCTCTGTTGGCAATGTTTGATATGGCTACACAATGGAAACGATGGATGCAAACACTAAGGCTTTGCTTGGTTGTTGGAAAATGTAAAGAAATAATTTTGAATGTTCTGGTAGGAAAGAAAATGAGAGGGATGATCATTTTCCATCCTAATCCTCATGTGCAAAAACAAAAAGGAAAAAAGGAATGTCAATGTTAAAAAATAGACCATTTTTCATGAGCTCTTATATTAAGATATTCCTTTATTTTGTATGGTTGCCCCATCTTCCCTCTGGTTCCTTGCGTTTATGGGGATCCCAGAGAAAGCTTGTTCACATAATGTGTTTGGGCACAATACCATTAATTTCTTTTACATAAGATCCCAACTAGGAAGTGGAGGCTTTCTTATTGTGCTTCTGTTTAATGTTCTCATTGCATAATAGAGGGCCAGATGGCAAAGGAGGTTGCAAGACTGAAGGAAGGGCTGAGATACTTAGACACCGTATTAAGGTTAAAACCTTGCAAATATGCTCGTTTTGTTATTTTAATTGTTCCACTTTTTAATATTACATAAACCAATGATCAATTGGTTTTATTTTAATGCTTCTAAATGCAGAGATTGTCCTGAGACAATGTCTCCTGGTGCACGAAACTCGAGGATTTCGCTCTCGAAAACATGCTTGCTTCTACTTCTAGTACTCTGGTTGCCATGGCCTCACAACTATCTGAAGCTGAAGAGCGTGAACGCATTTTTAGTGGAAGGGGACGTTGGAACCAAATTCGGTCTTGCTGATGCAAAAAATATTATGAACTATCTATTCAATTTAGCATCATCCTCAAGGTAATTCATCTTTCCAAAAACAAAAGTATTCCATGCTAACCTTTCCATTTCCATTTCTACCAACTGATTTTTCTGCAGCTTTTTGCTTTTGTTATCATGGTTGTTAACATCATGGGTCTTCATTTATTTGATTCGATTAATAATTTGCCGTCCCTTTTCAAGGTGCTCATTGCGAGATAAGGAAGTAGTTGCAGAGAAAAGGATGCAGAATAAGGATCTGAAGGAAAGGTGGTGAAACTTAGTAGTTTGGCCAACTAGAGGCAAAAAGGCAGATCTTCTTCATCAAGTGAAATGAAGGTTAGTTCATACTTTATTGGTGTTCAATCTAACTTTAAGGGGTTAAGGTTTACTATGGGTATTAAGGGCAGTTTGACATTGTTTTTGAAAATTGATTTTTAAAAGCACGATAGAAAAGAATTTTTAAAAATGTAGTCTAAAATTTAATAGTTTGGTATTGTTATTCAAAAGTACTTTTAATAAGATAAAATGTCTCTTTTAGACATTATATTATAATTAAAAAAATATTAAATAAATTATTTTAAATTTATTAATATTTTAATATATAAAAAATAAATTAAATTATAAAAAAATTATAATAAAAATATAATTATAATAAAATATAAAACGTAAATATAAATTAATAATTTATAAAATAATTGATTTTTTTTTCTGGGTAAAAGATTGGAGCTCATGTATCACAATAAGGGTAAAAACATAACTTTACTTTTAAACGGAAATTTGAACTGAAAAAGCTAGAAAATTCAGCTTTTATGGTTGGTTTAAAACCACCGTTCTAATCACTTTTACCTTAAATTTACACGTTCAGTAATGATTCTGATTTTAACTTAACTTTAGACCAAAAGTGCATTTAGAAATCATTACCAAACGAATTCTTACTAACTGTTGCCAGTTCTTTCAAATTCTCCATTGATGCCAGCTGAGTTTGGAATCTTAATTTTGTTTTGCTATATCTGATCCTTGTAACAGAATATGAAGGAAGACACAATGACAGAAGACATAAGAATGAATCGCGGAAGCAGGTAGGCACCATTTTGTCCTTTTCACATCTCTTTCTATTGCATTTACTTGTTGCTTTAGGAAGAATGGTTTTAATGATTGCTTGTTGTGAACATTGTTATAGGAACACCAAAGGTCCGTAACCTATATAGAGGACATGGATACATTTGAGTCGGAATATTCAGTACGGATGCAAGTGATGACGACGACGATGTGATTGGGTGCAGTCTGAGAGAAAGCCAATAAGGAAAGAGTGTCTAGATCCAGAGCTTCAACTGCAGGAATTCCTAAATCAGATACCAATGATGTGGGAACGGATGTACAGGCGAGGCTGCAAGGAAATTGAGGGATTATGCTGCACTTGCACCAAGAAGTCTTCGTGCAAGACACCGAAATGTCAATGCAGAGCAAATGGAAATTCTTGTGGACAATCATGTGGCTGTTCTTCAGTCAAATGTCCAACAGAGAAGCCGAAGCCAACCTGTTACTGATGCGGCACTAACGAGGAAGTGAACCTTGTTGCTCAGGGTGCATCACTACTACAGAATGCATTAGAGGGTGAGAAGGCAACTGAAATGATGGTGGTACTAAAAAGAGAAAAGCACTAAGTGACATCGGAAACACATTGGTATCATTTCTGTTTTAATATGATAAAAAATATATCTCAGGCATCATAATCCTCATTTATTTTCATTTTCTAACCTCGTGATTATAGGCTAAACCCAATGTACCAAGGCCTAATCAGAGTAAGAAACGGTTAAAATCGGTGATTCAGCTAGTTCCGGTAGCTCCACCAGTTACAACTAGAAAATAATGCGCACCAGGAAATCCGAAGATGTTGATCGTCCACAAAACCAGATAACTGTCCGAGTGAGTCGGATATCCCTTTGAAGTTACCAAGAGCAATGAGATCAGCTTCATCAGATGGCAGTAAAGTGCTGAGAGACAAATGCTGATCACAACGGGATGAATCAACAACCAAGGAGTTCTCCATTTTCCTGTCAGTCCCGTTAGGGCAACAAGACATTAGAAGAGAAAGAGAACCGCCGCCATTAACTCGAGTAGTACTGTTCCTTAACCAGCCATTCATTGATAATTAACCACCACCACTGTCAAAAACCAGCTATGTACAAGAAAGGTCAACATGAGCAGTTGGAAATCCTTTAGATGTTTATTACAGTTCAGGACAGAAGCTTTGTCCTGATTTCTCCTGAGAGTGAGGAGTATTGTTCTTGTAATGCACTCTTAATTGCCGAACATGAAATTGAATGTCGAACTTTTGAGTCGGATCACCCCTTAAGCAAGGTTATTTTTTTTTGGAATTGTGAACTTATCTGAATCGTCTTGTGGACGGGGCCACCTTGGGCTTTTCTCCCACAAGGATAACTTCGACAAGGTTTGCCAAAGATTACGGTGATGTTGTAAAGAGGAGGGAAAGCGATTAAACGGCTTCGATGGAAAAAGTGTGTTAATCAAAGCCAACCGAGGTTATGGGCTTTTGGGATCTTCACCTCTTCAACCTATCGCTTATGCAAAGCAAGGTGGAGATTGATCCATAATACAAACAGTTTATGCTTAAAAGTGTGTATTAATCCCCATCGTCAATAAAAAGTTAAAGTTGATGAGTTGATGGAACCACTGCATGCAAAGCCTTGAGGCAGAACTTGGACTTCAAGTGCAGTTTGGAAAAGTACTTAAAAGTCCAATACGGTAAAAAATATATTCTCTTTGTCCCATTAAATTGGCAAAATTCATCAGATAATGGTGTGGAAATTTTTTTGTGAGATAATGTTGTTGGAGAATTAATTGCTGAGATAGGGGTTTGCTACAATTCGAACGTTGGTCGCCAGGTGCTCGGGCGACCAAGGAGGTCGCAAGCTATTCGAGCGACTTGTGCTGAGTGTAGAAGCTGTGCATGGCCATGCACGTAGGTCACCATGTGATCCCATCCCACAATGGAGGTGTGTAGGTCGCCATGCACTCCCGCGACCTACATGCACGGCCGACGACCAAGCAACGCCCCGTGAAACGCTTCCCCTGCATGCCATTGTCCCATGCATGCAACTATATAGTTGCATTATTGTAGCATGATTTGCGCTGCTGCATGCAGCAATAATTGCTGCATTTGCAGCCTCCTTCAACAGCTCCGTGAGCTATTTCAGCATAATTGCTGCATTGAAGCAGCCGAGTGAGTTATATTGGATATGGGGGTTAACGCATGGTGCATAAGAAAGAAAGAAGGAAGAAGAGAGAAGGAATGAGAAGAAGGAAGAAGAAAGGGAGAAGAGATCGGGGAAAGTTTGTTAGTTTAAATTATAGTTTGTTAGTTTAAGTTACATTATATTAGTTTGTTAGTTTAAGTTATATATTAATTATAAAAAAATTAGTTCATTATTTGTTAGTTTCTTAGTTTAAGTTATATATAAAAATAATTAATTAGTTGTTAGTGTGTTTAACGTATATTAGGTTGTTTGTTGAAGTTGAGTTATTATATAAAAAGTTAATTAGTACTTAATTAGTTTGTTATTTTAACTAAGTATATTATATAAAGAATAATTTATTAGTTTAAGTTATATTATAATATTTTATATAAATTAATTTGTTTAATTTATTGTTGTTTAAAAAAATATTTTGTTTACACCTACAGGGCATTATTCCACAACTTTTGCTCACGTACAAATTGATTCGAAGAAAGAAAGAAGAGGCATAAATACGCGGGTATTTTTATTTTTTGTTGTTTTGTATGTGTAATTAGTTAGTTAGTTAGTTTATATTAGATTATATAAATTAATTTGTTTTATTCCCGTTTAAAAAATATTTTTTTTAATTTATATTAGATTATGTGTAAATTAGTAAGGAGTAAAATTAAATCGAAATAATCGTAAAATTTATAAAAAATAATTACAATTTGTTTGATATTAAAAAAATAAAAATTATTAAACTAATTATTATATTAGTAATCATTACTAATGATTAATATCAAATCCAAATCAAATATTTATAATAAATATTATTAGTAATCATTACTAAATCATTAAATATCAAATCATTAAATTAATAATTATTAATCATTATTAGTAATGTTAGTAATCAATTAATCATGTTAAATAACAAATTTTATTTTCGTTAATAAATATATTATATTATATTTATTTATTTAATATTTGAAATTATCTTATCAATTTTTTTAATCTAAATTTACTATTTTTTTATTTGTAGAGAAATGAGCAACACTTTTTCACGATTGTCTATTATAATGGATTATGAAAATGTCGAAGTTTTTCAGTCTGAAAAACCAATAAATATGATGTTCAAAAGAGACATCACGTTTGTAGAATGAAGCAATAGAAAGAAAAATTCGAGCGCAGTTGATGGTTGATGTACAGGTTTTATGATATGTCTCAACCCAGTCAGATATGCTGCAGTACCACTTGAAGAAGAAGATGATATTGAACCATGATTGGATTACATGAGTCAACCAATATAGCAATTATTGAGTTATTTGTTGATGTGCGTAACATATGTGATGTTTCTGGGTCATTAAGAAATGTGGCTTGAAATCCATCTGAAATGGCTTTCGATAGTGAGTTTGAGGACCCACATAAAATTTCCCAAAGTTTTATGGCACTATTAGAAAGTAGAAATAGTCGAGGGACATCCGCAGCAGCAGTATGAGACGAGAAACATACACTATTCGAAATTGACTGTTGATATGATGCTGAAATCGATGGGGAGAAATTCATGATGATTCAAACGAGATGAAGAAACCGAAGACCCTTTTGGCGACGATGATAATTTTTTCGGTGGAGGTGCAATTGACTTGGCCATTGATGAAGTTCTGACATCGTACGAAGCTACTCCTCACAGGCGAGATGGATTATGATACGATGAGGACACCTGAATTCCCAGACATGCCACATTTACCTCATTACCAAATGGCTGAATCATTCGAAAATTCTTGTGAATTTTCAGTTAGGGTGCAATTCATAGGAAAAAATGAAGCTACGCTGACGATTAAAGAGTATTGCATCAATGCCATGTTGATGTCCTGTGCAGAGTCCAACCAGAAAACCCTATACGCGAGTGTGTTAAATATGGCCCAGAGTGCAATTAGAAGATCAGAGTGTCGAAAATTCAAAGGCACGATGGTTGGGTCATCACAAGGTACAATAGTCCTCGGACTTGTTTGTGAAACTCCATCGAACAAGACCACCGACT